CTTGTCATCGTTGATGACTATTCCCGCTATGTGTCCGTTCACCTTCTCACCGCCAAGTCTGAAGCCCCAGCCATTATCATGGAATGGGCAAGGCAGGCTCATTCACACTTCAAAACCAAAATCAAGATTCTTCACTCTGACGGTGGCGGTGAATTCCGCAACAACACTCTCAAAGCTTTCTGCTCTACTGAGGGTATTCGTCAGACCTTCACCCTCCCAGACAGCCCTCAACAGAACGGTGTTGCTGAGAGCCGAAACCGCATCCTGGTGCAGATTGCTCGCTGCCTCCTCACTCATGCTTCCGCCCCTCCCTCTCTTTGGGGATACGCCATGCTCCATGCTGCCGCCCTCCACAATCTCCATCCTCATCCTCACCACACCCACACCACCCCCGCAGAGCTGTGGACGGGTCAAAAGCCATCCGTCCGCCCTCTTCGTGTATGGGGATGCACTTCCTATGTTCTCCTCAACTCCCAAGCCCGTCGTGCAGCTGGCGGCAAGCTTGCTCCGAAAACAATCACGTGCGTGTACCTCGGGCACAACTCGGACTCGCCAGACTACCTCTTCCTCCATCCTACCACCAACAAACTTTATCGCAGCCGAGATGTTTTCTTCGATGAATCCCACCCGTTCTACCCCTCCTCCACAGTTTCTCCTTCTCCTCCGCCTCCTTCTCTTACTTGGGCTGACTTTGACAGCCTTCCTCCTGCCACCACTCCATCTCCTCCTCTTCCTGCTCCCTCCACAGTTTCCGACCCCCCGTCACCCGCTTCCCCTTCCAGCACCACGCAGTCTCCCCCGCTCCTTCCCGCCCCCGAGCCCATTCCTCTCAAAACCTACCAACGCCGTCCTCCTGCTGCTGCTCCTCCTCCTGATCCAGCTCCTCCTCCTGATCCAGCTCCTGCTCCTGATCCAGCTGCTGTTCCTGATGCTGCCACTACACCTGCTGCTTCTCCCCCTCCAGCTCCGCCTCCCTCCCCCATCGCTGGTCACACCCGCTCGCGCAAAGCTCCCAAGCCTTTTTCCCTTTCCATTCGTGTCTCTCTCAATCCTCCTCCTGTCGGGGGTGATTATTCGCTCTTGCCCTCCCTTCTTGAGGACAGACATGAGGAGTTGATTGAGATTGACTCAGCCATACACGCACTCTGCTCCCTCTTTCCAGATATCGCAGAATCTCCCACCCTCGACTTCTCGGACAACCCCTCCATCCCCACACCTCTCACCTATGCTGAAGCAGTTTCTGGTCCTCACGCCGCTCAATGGCTAGGGGCCATTGTCGCAGAGTGTGAGGCCTTCATTCACACAGGAACTTTCACAGATGTCTCTCCTCCCTCCGGCGTCAACATTGTGAAGGGAAAATGGGTTTTCCGGGTGAAACAATTTCCAGGCGAATTTCCCGTCTTCAAAGCCCGGTACTGTGCCAAGGGATTTACCCAAAAGCATGGACTGGACTTCTTTGAGACATTCTCTCCCACCGCCAAACCTCCCACACTGCGCACCCTTCTCGATGTTGCCGCTCGAGATGACATGGAGGTTGACTGCATGGATGTGTCCTCTGCGTTTCTGCAAGGGATCCTTCGAGAGGAAATCTACATGGAGCGGCCCGAAGGATTTCCAGCTCCTTTTCCACCAGGCACTGTATGGAAGCTGAATCGACCAGTCTATGGCCTCAAGCAAGCACCCCGGGAATGGCACAACAAGCTCAAGAGCACCTTAGGGTCCCTCGACTTTCACCCATCCACCTCTGACCCCAGCCTCTTCATCCGAGCAACACCATCCCGCTTCTTCATCTTGGTTTATGTCGATGACATGATCCTTGTCACCAAGGATCAGACTGAGCTGGCAGCAGTCAAAACCGCACTTGGTGAGAAGCTGGCTATGAAGGATCTTGGGAAACTGACGAACTCTCTGGGCATGGAAATCACACGTGATCGCACGGCCCGCACCATCACCCTCTCGCAGAAGTTCTACATCAACAACGTTCTGACCAGGTTTAAGATGCAGGAAGCAGCTTCAATGCCCACCCCACTCTCTCTGCAGCACCAACTCGCTGCACCCTCTGTTCCCTCACCTGAGCCCTGTGATGAGGCTTACCCCGAGCTCGTCGGTTCCCTCATGTACGCGATGATGTGCACTCGACCAGATTTGGCCTATCCAGTCAGTGTCCTGTCTCGCTACGTTGCACCTGGTCGCTTCACGAGCCACCACTGGTCTGCCGCCAAGCGGGTCCTCCGCTATCTCAAAGGCACACAGGACTATGTGCTCACTCTTGGCGGCTCTTCCCCTGTTCGCCTTGAGGGGTACAGTGACTCGTCCTATGCTGATGACCAGAGTGATCGGCGCTCTTCCCAAGGATATTGCTTTATCCTTGGCAGTGGGGTTGTCAGTTGGCGCTCCACTCGGTCGTCTTCCGTCTCACTGTCGACCTGTGAGGCAGAGCTGTATGCCGGGACCATGGCTGCCCAAGAGGCCCGTTGGCTCTCCTTCTTGCTGGCAGAACTTGGGTATCCTCAACCAGCCCCAACGCTTTTGTGTGACAACGAGAGCACCATTCATCTCACAAAGAACCTCGTCTTCCACGGCCGCACCAAGCACATTGAGGTCCGTCACTACTTTCTTCGTGAGCTGGTGCAGCGCGAGCAGCTGAAGGCTGAACACATTGCCTCCGACTGCAACCTTGCTGACTTGTTTACCAAGTCTCTTGTTCGCCAAGACCACTACCGCCTCCTCTCGTCCATGGGTGTTGGGCCGCCATGTGGCTGAAGTGTTGTCAGCCTAGGGGGTGTGTTAGAAATAGTCAGTCAACACTTTGTACTATATTCTATATCGGTTAGGTTACTTTGTAGGTTGGGTGTAGATTTGTAATCCCAACCCTATCTGGTTGGGATTCCCTCGTAATCCTGCAAATCTGCCAACTCACCAATTGGAGATTTGCTAGGATTCCCATCCCATCCTTTCCCTAGCTTTGCTCAACCCAACCCTGTTTGTACTTAAGGCCTAGTGCCTTCCTTATCAAGCAATCAGTTCAGTTCCAATTCTATCAGTGAGTTCCCCTTCCAGCTGCCCCCAAGCATTGTGAGTTCCCCTTCCAGCTGCCCCCAAGCATTGTGAGTTCCCCTTCCAGCTGCCCCCAAGCGTTGTGAGTTCCCCTTCCATCTGCCCCCAAGAATTGTGAGTTCCCCTTCCAGCTGCCCCCAAGCATTGTGAGTTCCCCTTCCAGCTGCCCCCAAGCATTGTGAGTTCCCCTTCCAGCTGCCCCCAAGCATTGTGAGTTCCCCTTCCATCTGCCCCCAAGAATTGTGAGTTCCCCTTCCAGCTGCCCCCAAGCATTGTGAGTTCCCCTTCCAGCTGCCCCCAAGAATTGTGAGTTCCCCTTCCAGCTGCCCCCAAGCATTGTGAGTTCCCCTTCCAGCTGCCCCCATGCATTGTGAGTTCCCCTTCCAGCTGCCCCTAAGCATTGTGAGTTCCCCTTCCATCTGCCCCCAAGCATTGTGAGTTCCCCTTCCATCTGCCCCCAAGCATTGTGAGTTCCCCTTCCAGCTGGCCCCAAGCATTGTGAGTTCCCCTTCCAGCTGCCCCCAAGCATTGTGAGCTCCCCTTCCATCTGCCCCCAAGCATTGTGAGTTCCCCTTCCATCTGCCCCAAAGCATTGTGAGTTCCCCTTCCAGCTGCCCCCAAGCATTGTGAGTTCCCCTTCCAGCTGCCCCCAAGCATTGTGAGTTCCCCTTCCAGCTGCCCCCAAGCATTGTGAGTTCCCCTTCCATCTGCCCCCAAGCATTGTGAGTTCCCCTTCCAGCTGCCCCCAAGCATTGTGAGTTCCCCTTCCATCTGCCCCCAAGCATTGTGAGTTCCCCTTCCAGCTGCCCCCAAGCATTGTGAGTTCCCCTTCCAGCTGCCCCCAAGCATTGTGAGTTCCCCTTCCATCTGCCCCCAAGAATTGTGAGTTCCCCTTCCAGCTGCCCCCAAGCATTGTGAGTTCCCCTTCCAGCTGCCCCCAAGAATTGTGAGTTCCCCTTCCAGCTGCCCCCAAGCATTGTGAGTTCCCCTTCCAGCTGCCCCCATGCATTGTGAGTTCCCCTTCCAGCTGCCCCTAAGCATTGTGAGTTCCCCTTCCATCTGCCCCCAAGCATTGTGAGTTCCCCTTCCATCTGCCCCCAAGCATTGTGAGTTCCCCTTCCAGCTGCCCCCAAGCATTGTGAGTTCCCCTTCCAGCTGCCCCCAAGCATTGTGAGCTCCCCTTCCATCTGCCCCCAAGCATTGTGAGTTCCCCTTCCATCTGCCCCCAAGCATTGTGAGTTCCCCTTCCAGCTGCCCCCAAGCATTGTGAGTTCCCCTTCCAGCTGCCCCCAAGCATTGTGAGTTCCCCTTCCAGCTGCCCCCAAGCATTGTGAGTTCCCCTTCCATCTGCCCCCAAGCATTGTGAGTTCCCCTTCCAGCTGCCCCCAAGCATTGTGAGTTCCCCTTCCATCTGCCCCCAAGCATTGTGAGTTCCCCTTCCAGCTGCCCCCAAGCATTGTGAGTTCCCCTTCCAGCTGCCCCCAGGCATTGTGAGTTCCCCTTCCAGCTGCCCCCAAGAATTGTGAGTTCCCCTTCCATCTGCCCCCAAGAATTGTGAGTTCCCCTTCCAGCTGCCCCCAAGCATTGTGAGTTCCCCTTCCAGCTGCCCCCAAGCATTGTGAGTTCCCCTTCCATCTGCCCCCAAGCATTGTGAGTTCCCCTTCCAGCTGCCCCTAAGCATTGTGAGTTCCCCTTCCAGCTGCCCCCAAGCATTGTGAGTTCCCCTTCCAGCTGCCCCCAAGCATTGTGAGTTCCCCTTCCATCTGCCCCTAAGCATTGTGAGTTCCCCTTCCAGCTGCCCCCAAGCATTGTGAGTTCCCCTTCCAGCTGCCCCCAAGCATTGTGAGTTCCCCTTCCAGCTGCCCCCAAGCATTGTGAGTTCCCCTTCCAGCTGCCTAAACTCGTGGTGCTGCTGGTGCCATGGGGCTATGCCATGTCATGCCATGATCGTGAAACAGCTGTCTGCATGTTGTCGCCATCACAGCTGCACACTCGCTGCATGTTCGTGTAACCACATGCATGTTCGTGTAACCACATGCACACGTTCACTGTCCACCACCCCTGGCGTCTCTCATTCTGCAGCGCTGGCCAGCGCTCTGACTGCCCATCTCTCATTCGGCATTCTCTGCCCGCCTTTTCTCTGCCGGTGTCTCCTCCGCTTGTGTCCCCCCCAGCTACCTCACGCATGTGGACGCCAGCACGGCAGTCATCACCACCACCAGCACTGACATCCCGCCTCTGCTGCTCCGCCGCCCGCTGCTCCTCCTCACTGCCACCCACCTCCTCGCCATTGACCAATCAGGGCTTGGCATGGCCGCATGCCTCCCGCTGTGTGGGCTGGAAGTGAGTGTGGAGAGAGGAGAGGAAGGGGGAGGGGAGGAACTGGAAAGGGGAGGGGGGAAGGGAGAGGTGGAGGAGGGAGGGAGTGCGGAGGAGGGCGAGGGGGAATGGTCCCTGACATGCTTCTGTGGCAGGGGTGGTCGGCTGTGTGGCAGTGTGAGTGATTGGTGGCACACACTGCCACACCACCCCACCCAGAGAAAGTCCACTGGCGCTCTGGATGATAGCAGCGGTGAGAGGCGAGGGCGTGACGAGGGCAGTAGAATGGCAGAGGGTGTGACGGGTGGGAGAGGGGGAGGCGGGGAGGCAGACGCTGTGAGAACAGTGGAGGTGCAAGGGGGAGGGGAGCACGCAGACTTGACGATAGGCCTGCAGGTGTACTGCCAGGTGGGAGAGGCAGCACACATCCAACTCGTGCCTCTGCTGCTCAGACAGGTGGCTCGCTCTGCTGCCCTTTGACTGTTCTCTCAGCTGCACTGTGTTGCACACCCATATGGGGTACCGTCAGCGCCTGTATAGTGGAACCCCTGCCCCTGGGTACACAGAGGGGGTGAGTGAGTCCCCCCTTGGCCTGTTTTTAGAACCCTCTTTTGCTCCAGTAAGAATTTACCGTCATACCCCGGATAGTAGCGCATATGCGCTTATAATAAATTTATTTTTTTGAGGGGGGGCGCTTGTAATTGAGTAACGGCCATAAGCGCCGGCGCTTTTATACAGGCAAAAGTGAATTTCACTGTAAAGGATATCATTCTGAAGCCCTCAATAAGGATAACACTGTACCATGCGCGCGGGGTCGTGCATGGAATGACGGCGAAACTTGCCGCACAAAACCCGTCCCGGTGCAACGCACGTGCCAGCGCTGATGCAAAACCTGCCGTGCGGCCCAATCAGGTTGGCATGCGCTGCCAGACAGGAGCATCTCGGCAGAACCATCCAGAACGTGATGGAATATGCCGTGCCAGCACATCATGGATGGTGCCCCCAACCCTCCTCTGCGGGTTGAGGCAGGGGTGTACTCGTCTCTCATCGACGAGGACCCCGAGCCGCAAACCAGAAGGGGTCCCCTTCAATCTCTCATTGAGATAGCTTGCTTTCTGTTCTTGCAAAGGCAACGGGCTTCATTACAATTGCAGTACTTACAACATTCTCATCCAACTATGGATTATACAAATGTACAACTAGGGTGGGTGGGTGGGGAGTGGAACTGCAAAGTTCCGAAATGAAGTCGTGGGTGGAGGCCGAATGGCCTCCAACCCTCATTATGTACTCGGTGAATTGTAATTCGCCGTTGCTTTGCTGCGTTACAGGAAGCTGCGCTTTCACAATATGCATTTTTAGAAAGTGTTACACACATTTTTCGAAAATTTTCATATTTCAACACCCATTCTTGTAGTTTTTTTATTCATTCTTCATTTTCTCGCCCGCCTGGCTGCGGAAGCCATGGCGGAATTCACAGGCACTCATTTTCTCTTCAAGAAAAAAACTTCCAGTAGGCCCGCGTACCGTGTTACAGCTGACGGGTGGTATAGCCGCATACCACCAGACCCTCCAGAGCCACCACAGCCTCCTGCGCCTCCTGCGCCGCCTGCTCCTCCAGCTCCTCCAGCGCCTCCGGCTCCCCCTGCTCCTCCTGTTCCTCCGTGTCCGGTGGCCCCTCACGTCACTGAAAACCACCCCGTGTTCACGCTCCTGCTCCCATCGGCGTTCGACAAGTATCTGTCGGAACCGGATTCTAACAAGGGCCCCAATGTTTACGTAGATGCTCCAGCGCCAGCACCACGTTGGGGCCAGCCAGAAAACTGCACGTGGGACGAATCTGCAGTCGGCGCTGACGACGACGTGCAAGACGCCGAGGAAGATTGGTGCGCTGAGGGCGACACCGGCGCCGAGGGTGGCACTGAGACCGACACCGAGGCCGCTACTGAGGCCGGCACTGCTGAGGATGTGTTTCCCGAGGGTGCGCCGGGCGGTGACGACGACGACGACGGTGTAGAATATGTCAGAACATTATAGCTTATACATTTGTGAAGGCTGTAGTGGGGTAGCCCATAAGGGGTACAACCCAATTAGGGTTAGTACTTGTACCCAACTTATGTTCAATGCAATCATTCTCGTTTGTTACTTTGATAGAATACTGGTCACGCGATGACCTCCCCGAGAAACTCCCGATACCAACTTATCCTCCACGTAATCGAAAGCGACCTCACCCTTCTTCACACAACCGTGATTCTCGCCCCCCCTCTCCCACGCACGAGCCCAACGACCACAAGCGTCAGGCCTATACTGCCGCCGAGAAGTTGAAGTGAGTCGCGCAGCTGGATGTGGCGGTGTCGGTGCGCGCTCTGGCTCGCGAGAGTGGCATCCACGGCAAGTGCCTCGCCAACTGGAAGCGTGCCGCTGATTTCCTCAAGGAAGTCCACTCTGCCAGGAAGCGCATGCACGGTCGCGGCAGGGCGTCGTGGTACCGCTTGATGGAGATCAAGGTGTATGAGCGACTGCTCGACTGGCGACGCAAGGGAACCGCGGTGTCCGTCGGCCGTCTGCAGGAATGGTCCCGGGAGTTCATGAAGTTACTCTACCCCCTCGTGAAGTGGAAAGGGAGCCAACGGTGGTCGGACCGGTTCCGTCGGCGGTGGAATCTCAGCGTGCGAATGAAGACGAAGGTCGCTCAGAAAACCGCCGCCCGTAAGAATCATTTTTTTTCCTCTATGCCATGTGTATGCACTTGTTACTCACTAACCGTAACTGTGCTCAACCGCAGATGTCGCGGAGCAATGCAAGAAGTTCTGGCAATTCGTCCGTGACAAGCGTCAGGAGCGCGGCATCGAGACGACGTGGATTATCAACGCCGACCAGACACCACTGTAGCTGGAGATGCCCGCCACCACTACCGTCGATCAAACCGGTGTTCGGTCGGTGCCCATCAGGAGCGCGGGGTACCAGAAAGAGCGCGTGACCGTGATGTTGGCGTGCACGGCGGACGGGATGAAGCTGAAGCAGTGGGTTTTTTTCAAGCGGAAGACCGTGCCGACAGGGGTTTTCCCGCCGGGTAAGTCATGATTCTTGTTTGTATGCTTTTCACCGGTCCTGTTTTTAAAGAGACTTACAGAAGCTTGTTTGTTATGCAGATGTGGTCGTGGCGTGTCACGATAACGGCTGGATGGACGCCAACGGCGTCATACGATGGCTTGAGGAGTGCGTCAGGCCTTTTTTAAAGCCTGGGTTCGGGAGGCATGCGCGGAGCTCGATGGTCGTACTGGACTCGTACCGCAATCACCTCACTAAAAGGGTGAAGGAGAAGTTTCGCGAGCTCAACTGCGTGCCGGCGATCATCCCGTCTGGCTGCACAGCCCCTCGACGTCTGCATCAACAAGAGCTTTAAGGCGAGCGTCCGCCAGCAGTATCAGAAGTGGTTTCAGGAAGAAGGCCAAGAACAGCTAACCAGAGCAGGTACGATAGGCACGCGAGTCCCTATCTTACCGTAGATTATTGTCCCCCCTTTTGTTGCGCTAACTAAATATTGTGTGATTCTGTTGGTACAGGGAACTCGAAGAAGCCACCCCCAGAGGTGGTCGTGAGGTGGATCTCACGGGCCTGGAAAGCAGTGCCCGCGGACCTCATCAAGCGCGCCTTCCTCACCTGTGGCATCAGCAACGCGCTTGACGGCAGTGAGGACGGCCTCGCCATGGCGCACAGGCGGAGCCAGCTGACCGCGGAGGTCGACGTTTCTGACTCCATCATCGCCGATGGCTTCTTTGGCAACAACTGCCAGGAGCCCGAATCCGACGAGGAGGAGTAGATTTTCTAGCTAGAAATGCTATACTTTGCAATCTGTAGCTAGATGAAACAGTCGGTGATGATGTTGTAGGTGAAAAGTTATCATGCTCATGTTTAGTGTTAATTAGAGATGTTTTTTTTGTAATGAGTTCTCCGCAACGTGAAAAGGGTGCGCTTATAATAAGTACACCATATAGAGGGGGGGAGCTTATAATTGAGTTCCGGCCATAAGCGCCATGCTCCAGATAGAAGCGCCGGCGGCCTTAATCGGACGACGCCTATATCCGGGGCCATACGGTATGATGCGCTGTACCGTACTTTGCAAGCAAGGTGCGTGACACTTGGACAGTTTCTGGCTAGAAACGACAGCCAGCCAGGCTGGTGGCCGTGCAATTTGTTAACGGTGTTTTGATTCCGGCGGGGATTTTTTCTCTGTTCCTGTCACGTGCGAGAGAGTTTCGGATGAAGTGTACTTTTTCACCCACCCTGTTTCGCCAGGGTAGAAATCCAGGAACTCTGATTGCATAAGGGAAAAAAAAACGCTAGACTTTCTACACCAGGGTGACAAATCAAATGCCCTTATAAAATCAGGGTATATGACAAAACGCGGCCCATGGCAAGGCTAATCAGGGTATTTTACCCGTCAAAAAAGAGCCCTGCTGTCAATCAGCCTTTTTACTCAGGGAGAGCCTGATGCATCAAGGTACTAAAAAGTGAATCTGAGGGCCTGGTGGGTTGTGCCCCAAAAGTATGAACCCTAAAAGGGTTGTACACCATATAGGATATCTCACTACAGCCTACAACACAAATATGCAATTTGACATTGTACATTATTACTGACAACCACAATGTGCTGCAAACAAACCCGTGTATTGCAAACTACCGTAGCACTTCCCTCGACCCCTTGCATTCTTCTATCCACAATCTGCCTGTTCCTCTTCGACTGGAACTTTGTTGGCTCGTTTGCTTATCTCCCTGGCTACCATACTGCCATCACCTGCTTCCTCCTGACAAATTCCTGCTCCCTTGCCTTTGCGAGCAGACATGTCTTCTGTGCCACTCCCCCAACAAGCCACAAAACATGTCAGCTCACAAGCAAGGGCTTTATCAGCCATCTCATCTCATCCATCCCCTGCTGTGCAATCTCCCTCGTCTCCCAGTTCACACATCTGCTGCCAGCTCTTTTCCAACCATCCTCCCTCTGCGGCCAGCTCTTTTCCAAATGCCACCTGATGCAGCTCAGGCTGACACCTCACCGACCAATCAGCTGCCATGCTGCTAGCCTCGTCCCACCAGCGGGGAGCACGGAGTAACCAGCCGAGATAAATCTGCCTCACTATAGTCACCTCACCAGCAGAGGCATTGCCATCTCCCCCGCTACAGCCACGACCACACACACTAGCACGTTGTCCCAATCGCCAGGAGCCACCGCTTCCACTGCCGCTGCACCCGCTGCTATTGCCAACGTGGCAGGCGCTGCTGTTGCCACGTGGACGTGGCGCGGGGCGAAGTTGCCGAACGAATCAAAGAGCAGCAGCGATCCGAACCCAAACCCGAAGCTGCAGAGAAGCATCGCCGCGCTGCCAGGCCAGCTCTTGACCCCGGACCACGGAAGCTTCTGCGAAGGCGCGCTCCCGAACCGCCGTCCCGCGAGTTCCGCGAATCCGTCTCCCGCGCAGAGCGCGTTGAGCGCGAGAAAGGCGGAGGGGGAGTGGCGCCAAAAGAGCACGGTGAAGGCGACGAAACACAGCCCATACATCACGGGCCCGCGCAGCATTTCCCTGCGATCGCCGCGCCGCGTGACGGAGTTAATAGCTGACTGATCCTTAACCACGCCTAGACCGACGAGAGTGAAGTGGAGGGTGATTAAGAGCGGGACGACGGCTGCCGCGAGGCGCGCGTAGGGCTGATTGGAGAAGAGGTTCCACGTCAGCATGAAGATGGGACCGGTGAAGATGTGGATGAGTTTACGGCTGAGATAGACGGAGATCAGACGGAGCGCGACGAGAGATTGTACGGAGAGCAGCCATCCGAGGCAGATGGCGAGCGTGATGCCCGCGGCTGCGGCGTCCTGCCACTCGTCGCTCGACACGAATCGCCGCAACCACATGGCCATGCCGTGAGTTGATTGGAGCCACTAATATGCGCGGCAGTGAGATCTAGACGGGATGCGTGGGAAATGGGAAACGTTGGTGATACTTGCGTTGGTAAAATGCAGAAGTAGGACGGTAGCGGTTTGGATGTGAGTCGGAAGGGTGCGTGATGCGCGGGAGGGAGTGCCTCGGCATGCGAGGGAGGGGGCGTTGTCTGCAGATAAGAGATTGAGAGAGGGTGGGTAATGCGCCGCCTGACCTTCCTCGCGCTCGTTGCCTGCCGGCCCTTGCGGTGATTCAGGCGAAGCGCGGCGTAGGAGGGGAGATGGCGCGGAGGGGAAAGAAAGTGAAGCGCGCGAGCTAGGTGCCTTGCACGCGTCTTCACAAGCGCAGGTGTTGCTGGTAACCCGCAGGTGCTGCTGGTAACCTGCAGGTGCTGCTGGTAACCTGAGTGCCGACTTCAGTGGGGTGTTGTGGCTATCTGAGTGTCTCAGGGGATTAGACGGCCGTCGTCGCTTGTGGAGCGATGAAGCGACTACAGACAGCCATCCGAGTTGCATGCAATTCGGGTGGATGTTCTGCCTGGGGCAGGTGATGGTACGTCGGGGAAACTAGCTGGTCCGAGATTTACACAGGGAAAGGAGCACAGACAGGGCAGGGCTGACACTCCCTTCAATGCGGGCAGGAGAGTTTTCATGGTGCACTGTAAGCTGATCCGCTTCTATGCTCCCTGAGCTACTCTAACCTGAGGTCTCTAACTAGTTGCGAGGATACGTTTTGCGGAAATGTGGGTGTTGGTAGGCGATGGAAATGGAAAGAAAATATATTGATAAAGTGATTGCGTATAAATTAGAAAATGTTTCACTATCGACCGTGTACACCAAGTGTCGAAATAGTTCGTCAGGAAGCCAGCTACCTTACACTGTGCGCACGAGTCTGGATCGCAGAGCAGAGCAGAGCCCGGCACAAGAGTTGCTTTTCCCGCAGCCTAGATTCCGTCGCTGCCGCTGCCTACCCGACCCGCCCTCATTCTCCTCGTCCCCCTGCTTCGCGGGCCACGTCTCCGCACGCGTTACAATCTCACGCGAAATTCGTTACGATCATGATTGGCCGAACCACGCTCGCGACTCACCAGACCTAGGTCTGTACCCTTTCGAACGCTGCTCACCGTACGAGCAGCAGCTGCACCAACGCGCTGGCCCTGTGGACACCGTAGACACCCTCTAGTGAGACACCCTCTAGTGAGACCCAATACGCACTGGCCCAGTACACACCCTCCAGTCAGATTCATTCACCCCCCTGTCGCGCGAATCGCCGTCCTCTTCGATCTTCCCGTTTCCCTCCGTTATTAGGAGATTCGTTGCGAGAATTAGTTTCAACCGCAAGCTCGCGAATTTGTGGCTCGAATACGGACCCGCGCGGGCAGCCACCAGCGCATTGCGCCGGCAGGCAAGGCGGGGCGCCAGGCGCGCCGAGAGTTCCGCCCGTGGGGGGGGAAGCAAGCGCGCGGGGAGCAGGGGAGTGGCAGCCGCGCGCCCAGCAGCGCAGAGGGAACGCGCGGGGAAGGGCGGGGCTGGCGGCATGTCGGGCAGCGGGGGATCGCTGGGCGGGATAGGGGGAGGCGTGAGCAGCGGATTCGTGGCGGGGGGAAGGCGGTGGGAGGATCTGCGGAAAGATGTGAGTCGCACGGTCGCATGGTCCCACGGTCACATGGTCGCACGGTCGCACGGTCGCATGGTCGCATGGACGCATGGTCGCACACATTGCGCTAGCAGCTGTTGCCGTGCCCACTTGAGGCAATACACGTTTGCGATGATGCAAGATCCAACCATGGAACGTTTGACACGTGGTGGGCTGACATTCGCGCACCTCCCCCGGCCACATAGCAGTCGCAGCGGGTGGGGAGCGAGGTGGATCGCCGCCTTGCAGCGTTGACTGCCGCCTGGCAGCGTTGACTGCCGCCTGGCAGCGTTGACTGCCGCCTGGCAGCGTTGACTGCCGCCTGACTCCCTCCCCGCGCTCCCCCACGTTCCCAACCTTCCCCCATTTCCCCCCCGCTCCCCCTCTACCTCACCCCCTCCGTACAGGCGCTCCGAGTGGAGAGCGAGATGGGCCATCGTGTGACGGCCGACTCCAAGATCGGCGCATTGAATGTCATCGTGTGCCTCTCTCCTCCCCCACACGCCGTCCCTCCTCCCCCCCACTCGGTCCCTCCTCCCCCCCACTCGGTCCCTCCTCCCCCCCACCCGGTCCCTCCTCCCCACCAAGCTGGCGGCCTACTCCAAGCTGGGCGCCGCCTTCGCCTGTCGCCTCTTTCCCTCCGCCCTCCCCCTCCCCCGCCCCCCACGACCCCGCCCACCTTCCCCTGCCCCACGCCCCCTCTGCAGGCGCGGCGAGTGGAGAGCGAGGTGGACCACCGCCTAGCCGCCTACTCCAAGCTCGGCGCCGCCTTCGCGCTCGCCTCCTCCTCCACCGCCGCCGGTTCTCTGCCCGACCCCTCCGAGGCGCAGGTGAGACCCCTCCGAGGCGCAGGTGAGACTGGAGAATCTTCTTTACCTCCCCCGCCAACCCCCACCCCGTCTCGCCTCCGCCTCCACCCCCGCCTGCTCGCTGCCCGACCCCTTCGAGGCGCAAGTGAGTCTGCCCGACCTCCCTGGGGCGCAGGTAGGTCCCCTGCTTCCTCTGTACCACCCCCCTCCCCCACCTCGCCTCGCCTCGCCTCCTCCTCCACCACTGCCGGCTTGCCGCGCGATCTGTTCGAGGCACAGGATGGTGCGCTGCTTCCCCTTCACCACCCCGCTCTTTTGAGAATTCTCGAAAGTCACCCCCCTCCCTCCCCACGCCTCCTCCTCCTCCTCATCCTCCTCCTCCTCCTCCTCCTCCTCCTCCGCTGCTTGCTTGCTGCCCGACCCTTCCGAGGCTCAGGTGGGTGCGCCGCTTCGTCTTCACCACCCTCCTCCCCCACCCCACCGCACCTCGCCTTCCACCGCTGCCGCCTCCCGTCGGCCCCCTTAGAGGCCTCCCGTCGGCCCCTTTAGAGGCCTCCCGTCGCACCACCACCCTCTCCCCCCCCCCCCCCCCCCCCCTCCCCCCCTTTAGAGGCCTCCCGTCGCACCCCCCCCCTCCCCCCCCCCTTAGAGGCCTCCCGTCTCGCGTAGGTAAGGCCCCCACGGGCCCCACCTGACGCGCTTAGGACACGCCCCCGCAGGCAATCTCGTTGCGATTAGGTCAGGCCCCCGCGGGCCCCACTCGACGCGCTTCAGAAACGTCCCCGCGGGCCGCCCCTCTACCCTCGTTACGCCCGGCCAGTAGTGTGCCGCCCGACAGCAGCGCGAACAGCAGCAGAAACGCACGCCAGCCGTGCAGCAGCAGCTAGCACGCTCAGGCAGCCCCTAGCGCGCCAGCAACAGCCACTAGCGCGCCAGCAACAGACCCTAGCGCGCCAGCAACAGCCCCTAGCGCGCCACCAACAGCCCCTAGCGCGCCACCAACAGCCCCTAGCGCGCCAGCAACAGCCCCTAGCGCGCCACCAACAGCCCCTAGCGCGCCACCAACAGCCCCTAGCGCGCCAGCAACAGCCCCTAGCGCGCCACCAACAGCCCCTAGCGCGCCAGCAACAGCCCCTAGCGCGCCACCAACAGCCCCTAGCGCGCCACCAACAGCCCCTAGCGCGCCAGCAACAGCCCCTAGCGCGCCACCAACAGCCCCTAGCGCGCCAGCAACAGCCCCTAGTGCGCCACCAACAGCCCCTAGCGCGCCAGCTAACAGGAGCTGCCAGCGCGCCATAAGCAGCTGCCAGCGCACCAACAGCAGCTAGCGCCAGCAAAAAAAGAAAAAGAAAAAATGATATTTGGTTTTGCCATTTTTTCCATGAACGATGCCATAAACGCATTGCGACTCTGTCCCACCCCACTGCATCACTCCCCACCGCTTTGAGAACCCATCCAGATCCGAGAAGGCGAGATAGAGGCGTTGCTGCAGCAGCTGGCATCGCTGAACGACGCCATGGGGGCATGCGCTGCTGCGGGAGGGGCAGGAGGAGGCAGCTCGGAGCTGCAGGCGCACACACTCACCCGCCACAACAACATCCTGCTGGAGTTCTCAAGGGTGGGTGGGAGTGCGTGTGCTCTGCAGGGGGACTGTTGAAGGGGAGAATGGGGAGGCCCCAACACGCTCACTCGCCACAACAACATCCTGCTGGAGTTCTCGAGGGTGGGTGGGAGTGGGAGTGTGGGGGAATGTGTGAGTGTGTGTGTGGATTTGTGAGAAAGTGTGTGAGTTTGTGGGCATGTGTGAGTGTGTGTTTTGGTGTGTGGTTTTGTGAGAGTGTGTGTGGTTGTGTGGGTTTGTGAGAGTGTTTGTGAGTGTACGTGTGTGTGGCATGTTACATGTGAGAGTGTGTGTGAGTGTGTGGGCATGTGAGTGTGTGAGAGTGTGTGTGTGAGAGTGTGTGTGTGAGCGTGTGGGCATGTGAGAGAGTGTGTGTGAATGTGGGCATGAGAGTGTGCCTGTGGGTGGATGTGCATATGGACTCGCCACAACAACATCTTGCTGGAGTTCTCGAAGGGGATGGAAGAATGTGGTCTTGTAGAGTGTGTGAGAATGTGTGTGAGCGTGTGTGCATGTGAGTGTGGAGTTGGGCAGCTACGAGATGCAGTGGCACACTCTCACTTGCCACAACAACGTTGTCCTGTGAGGCTGTGGGCTTTTGTGAGACTGTTCGTGTGTGCGTGTGTGGGCATGTTCCGGGGTGGGTGTATGGACTGGAACTTGGAGCTGCAGGCTCAAACTCTCACTCCACACGAGGTGACCTTTCAGTCGACTCAAAAGTCACCATGCTCGAGCATGTTCCGGGGTGTATGGGTGGATGTGCTTTTGGACTGCAACTTGTAGCTGCAGGCTCACACCCTCATTCCCCATGGTAGCATGTTTTGGAAATTCTCAAGGTGGCTTGGAGTGCGTGTCGGTGCAGGTGTGTGCGCACGCGTGTGAGTGAGTGTGAGTGAGTGTGAGGGAGTGTGAGTGAGTGTGAGTGAGTGTGAATGAGTGTGAGTGTGTGTGAGTGTGTGTGAGTGTGTGTGAGTGTGATTGTGAGTGTGTGTGAGTGTGTGTGAGTGTGTGTGAGTGTGTGTGAGTGTGTGTAAGTGTGTATTGGTGTGCATCTGGGGCGAACATGCCACCTGGAGGGCAAACCTAAAGATAGCACCAAAGCTGTTCGTGTGCACACATCCGAGTGTGCGTTTGCACCCCTCTCACTGCACCCGTACCAGGGGGAGTTGGCATGCAAGCAGGGCCAACTCACAAGCAACCTGGACCTCCCATGGAGACTCAACCCCTTGCCAGACGTAGAATATCGGCTTTTCCTCCCTCCTCTTCACGCCTTTGCTTCTCTGAAGCCTCGCGTTCGTCTCTCCCTGCAGGAGTTGGCCCGCACGCGAGCAGCAGTGACTTCCAACCCTGCTGTGCTATGGAGCACGTGGGGCCCCATCTTCCCACGCGTTGAGACCATTCGATTGCCCACTTATCAGGCTTTGGCTTTCCCCCTCCCCTTCACACATGCACACCTTGTTTCCTCTGTGCTGACAGGAGTTTGCCCGCACGCGAGCAGCAGTGACCACCAACCTGGAGCGAGCGCAGCTGCTGGGTGTGTTTGGCAAGGCGGGCGGCAGGGAGGGGGGCGGCACGGGCAGCAGTGCGGGCGCTGAGGTGCTGTCTGAAACCGCTAGACTGCTCAATGAACGCACCTCCATCCACTCCGCCCTGTCCCAGGTAACCCCCCCCCTCTCCCCCCCCATGTGCGAGGTTCCTCCCTCCCCCTGTGCGCCCTCCTTTCTTGTTCCCTGCACGACTCCCACCCTCCTGTATGCATGCATGCTGTTACATGCACTCTACATCTTGTATACACTGCATGCAAACTCAGCGCATGCCAACTCAGCACATTCCATGCCAACTCATTGCATGCCAATTCAGCGCATGCCAACTCAGCGCGTGCCGACTCAGCGCGTGCCAACTCGGCGCGTGCCGTCTTAACGCTTGTTAACTCGGCATATGCTCAATCCCTTGGTCTGTTTGCTGTTTGGTCTCCCTTCGTTCCCACTCCCATCAGGCTGATGACGTCATCAAGCAAGCATACGCCACGTCATCATCTCTGGCACAGCAGCGATCGCTCCTTGGAGGCACATTCTCTAAAGTCACACTCCTGGGCAACCGAATTCCAGGGGTAGGTTACTGTGTTGGTGCCTGCCCTGCTGCTGTCGCTCCTGCTCCCATTCCCTACCGTACTTGTCTTTGCTCGTCCCTTGCACTGGTATCCCAAAGCAGCTCCCATCATTCCCACACGCTGCTTCCTCCCTCTTCTCTCCCTCATGGCGTGCTGTGCCCAACCATGCTGCCCCCAACCATACTGCCTCCCACCCTTCCACAATTATGCCAACAAAGCCCTCGTCACTCACCCATACTGCATGTGCCATGAGGTCACCCATACTGCATGTGCCATGAGGTCACCCATTCTGCATGTGCCATGAGGTCATCCACATGCCACCGCTCTCTCTTACCTACTCATTCCCCCCACCTCCTGCCCCCCTCCCTCCCCACTGTGCTGCAGCTGAGCACGCTGCTTTCAACCGTTCAGAAGAACAAGTCATGAGACTCTCTCATTCACATGCGTACCTCTTTTCCTCTCCACCCCACCCTCCCTCCCCAACCCCCTTTCTCCCCTCTCCGCTCTTGCGGTGCAGCTGAACACACTGCTGTCAGCCATTAGAAGGAAGAAGTCACGGGACTCACTCATTCTCGCTGCCGTCGTGGCTGCCTGCACGCTGTTCCTCCTCGTCTACTGGCTCAACAAGTAGCTCCTTCCACTCCCACCCACTCCGTCCCACTCCGGCCACAAAGCACTCAACAAGTAGCTTGCGCTCGATCCCAGTCACATCCCATCAACATCTCTTTGTTACACAAGTAGCTCCCTCCCACCCACTCCATCCAGCCACATCAATCTACTGTATGAAGGAGCAGGAGGCCACCCTATCGTATTTCTCATTGCTTACCATTTTCATTATCAGACTGTTACGGTAGGCCGATTTGGGGGTGTTGCAATAAATCTGAAATATTTTCTCATGTGATGGACTGTATAGAAGTGTATATCGAAATTGTGTTGGAGTTCACAAGCCACAGTTCGACGTCATTGAGCGGCGAAGCTTATCGAACCCCGAAACACACGTTGAAGTCAGGACGCAAAACTCGTAACTACGGTACATTTATCGTGTCTCCGGACGGTTCCACACGGTGGAAAGCGGTTTCTTTTATTCCTCTTTGTGCACCGCGACGCAACGATTTAGACCGCAAAGAACCACAAGAGACCCACGAGTTGAACACTCCCCCACACTACTCGAGGCATCGTCACCCAAGGTAGGTCAGGTCGCATAGCACTGTTCGGCTGGATTCTAGTTTCACATCTCATGGTCCTAGCTCCGTTGTGTCAACAGAGGCGCCGTGAAGCAGCACCACGCAGACTAATTTCTCGTTCATATCGCGCTTCGGCTGCTTCTCAAACCAAGTCCACACCTTCAAGCCGAAATCTCCAATTCGATCATGATTCCCAACGAGGCGCGACACCCACCGCCATAATCACACCCCTGTACTAGAGACACTCGTACTTATCACTCGCGCCTGTCCTCACCCTGACGCGCCGTTCCCCTTTCAACTGACCCCCCTCCGCGCGCGCCCCGGCCAATGGCAATCGCGCGGAGCCACGTCGTGTCACGCCCAGCCGCCGGAGCGCGGTACGGGTCATCGCCGGACCTGCTGGCGGCGTCGCTGCAGCAGTCGTTCCGCTACGCGCGGCTGTGGACGGCCTTCCAGCAGTTCTTCGGCTTCTTCGCCTTCCTCCTCACGCTCTGGTTCGTCACCTCGCGCCCCTGGCACTCCGCCGACTCCCGCGCCGCAAATTCCGCCGCAAACGCCGGCGCGACCTCCCGTCTCGGCGGAAACTCCGGTAGCGGATTCACCGGCGGGGGCAGCGCCGGCGGCGGCGGCGGGAAATTGACAGGTCCGGCGGCGTACGTAGTGGTGGTGTGCGACGAGTCGCAGTTAAAGTCCGCCATGGTCCTCGTGCATTCGATCAGATCCACCAAGACGGAGCACGATATCGTCGTGCTCGCGCGCAACCTCTCCGGCACGCCGCGCCACATCTTCCGCGCGCTCGGCGCCACGGTCAACCCGCTTCCGCGCGGCGTCCCCGCGTCCGTGCTCGCGCTGCTCGACGACCCCTTCCGCCCCGTCGCCGCCTCCGCCCACGGCAACCAATCTTCCGCGCACGCCGCCGCCGCGGGAGGGGCCTCCGCCGACCCCTTCTCTGGATCCTTCTCCGCGAACCCCGCAGCGGAGTTCTCCCCACCCTTCCCCCCGACCACCTTCGCGGACCCCTTCTCCTTCAGCTCCGTCTACTCCCCGCCGCCGCACCCCGCCGCGCTCGCGGAGTGCCTCCCCTTCAAATTCTCCATGTGGCTGCTCCGCCAGTACTCCAAAGTCGTCTATCTCGACCCGCGCATGCTCGTTCTCGAGAATATCGACGACGTGCTGGCTCGGCCCGAGCCTACCGCAGCTCCGGATAACTCGCTCCCGGACCGGTTCAACCCGAGCCTGCTGGTGCTGGAGCCGAGCGTGGCGACGTACCGCCAGCTCGTCGCGGAATACGCGGCCATCGCGTTCGGCGATGCGGATAGCGACAGTGACAGCGCGCGACGCACCCTCGCTGCAGGGGACTCCGACCAGGCGCATCCGCAGCAGGAGAGGCAGCAGCGGCATAACGAGCAGCAGCAACAGCAATGGAATTTGCAGCGGCGGCTGCGGCGGGGGCCAGTCCTCCCAGTGGGGTCGGAGGATCTTATCTTCTTCAACCATTTCTTCTCGGACTGGCCACAGCTGGGCGCGCAGCACCACCTGGACTACGGGTGCAACGCGCCCTCCCGCCTGGGGTACTCGGCCACGTGGAACGAATGGGTGCACCCCAAGCTCAAGGTCGTGCGCTTCGCTGGCGGCTTCGAGCGCTGGGACGAGCTCACTGATAAACTCTACCCGCCCACGCGGCGCTACGACCACCTGCGGTGGGAGCTGCTGAGGGACATGTCGGGGTTGTTGGTGCAGCACGGGGTGATAGCGCCGGGGGACGCACTGCCCAGCCCGCTGTGCCAGACGGACTTCATGCAGTATGCGCGCGGGGCGCCCGTGCCGAGAAAGCTGTCGGTCGTGATTCTCACAGGCGGAGATCTGACGACTCTTCAAACGCTGATATTCCACTTCGCCGCCATGCGCTTCGTGCACATGATCTACGTCATGGCCAAGCCCAGCGAGGCCCCGGGAGGGGGGAGTGCTGCTGGTGCCGCCGGTGTGGGGGGGGAGTCGTCGGGAGGATTCAACCTTGGCGGCAGCAGCGGGGGGAACACAGGGAGCAGCAGCAGTGGTGGCAGTGCGTGGGCGCAGGGGCACACGCAGAGCATCCTAGCAGCAGCCATCGAGTCGTGGAACGCCAGCAAACCCGTGGAGCTGCTCCCACCGCTCCGCCGCTACTCCATGTCAGCGCGCATGCGCCCCATCGCGTCCCTCCCCACGGACTGCGTGCTCATGTGCGACGACTCGGTGATGGTGGGCGCGTCCGTGCTCTCGTCCGCGTTCAAGTTCTGGCAGGAGCAGCCGCAGCGCCTGGTGGGGTTCTTTCCATCGGCGCACTACCGCGACCCGCACACGAGCGAGCTGGTGTTCGTGGCGGACCCGAGAGAGGAGTACTCCATGGTGGGGGCGCGGCTGCTGCTGCTGCATGCGGATTACCTGCAGTCGTACACGTGCACGCTTCCGCAGGTGAAGGGGGGACGGGGTGTTGGATGGCCCTTGTGATGGTTCAGTGCTCGTGGCGGAGGTCAGAGGGTTGTGGGGTCCACCACAAGCACTCAGTGCTCTATGGTGGGCTTGGGATACGGGGCACTTACGGTGTGGGGGAGAAAGGGGAGCGAGGGAAGGGGAGTGTTTGAGAGAGGGAAGAAGGGTGGAAGGGAGGTAAGTGCGTGGGAGGGAGGAGAGCGGGGCCGTTGTTTGGGGCACTTGGAAGCTGTAAAGGAATGAGAAGAGAAGTGGTGGAGGGACGGGATGGGGGGAAAGGGTTGGGGGGGAAGGGTTGGGGGGTGCCTTCAACTTTCCCCGCCCGCCACCATTCCACATCTTCCCATGCCATTGCCTACAATCCCATGCCTGCCCTTCCCCCATGTGTGCGTTCTTTGCCCCCACTCCCAGTTGGTTAGCGTCTGCATACACATGGCCCCGCAGTGCATACACATGGCCCCGCAGTGCATACACCTGGCCCCGCAGTGCATACACATGGCCCCGCAGTGCACACACGCGGTGGGCGGCCCATCTCACCACATCCGTTTCCCCACTGAACCCCCCCTGACTTCAACTTCTCCCCCCCCCTTCTGCTGCCATGTCACGCCAGCAAGTGCGCGACTACATAGAGATGTCTCCCCAGTGCGGCGACGCGGCTCTCAACTTCCTGGCGGCCGAGCTGACGGGCGCGGCGCCTCTGCTGGTGGTGGACCCCGACAAGCGCGTCACGGAGGACCTCGCCTCCTCATTCGAGGACCACACGCGCGTCGGCTCTGCGTGCCTCAACGATCTGGAAGCTTTCTTTGGCGACATGCCGCTGCGCAACTCCACCCTCGCCAAGTTCCACCTCGAGCAGGACACCTTCACTAAGATGCAGTTCAATAAGGCCGGCGGCGGGGGGGGGAGGGGGAGGGGGAGGGGGAGGGGGCGGAGGGGGAGGGGAGGGGGATAAAGAGGGCAGGTTGCAGTGGGAGGCGCTGTTTGATGCCACCAAGATGTCTTCCAGCGATGAGAATTTCCGCTTCATGCCCTCTCTCAGACGGGTAAGTTCCGAATATTCGTGTCAGTATCCCCACCCCTCTCCGCGCAGCTGTAGTGCCTTCCCTTTCCTGCATGCTGCTCCCACGTTAACATCGTGCCCCTTTCATCATGCTCCCACGTTAACATCGTGCCCCTTTCATCATGCTCCCACGTTAACATCGTGCCCCTTTCATCATGCTCCCACGTTAACATCGTGCCCCTTTCATCATGCTCCCACGTTAACATCGTGCCCCTTTCATCATGCTCCCACGTTAACATCGTGCCCCTTTCATCATGCTCCGCACCCTCCCCTTGCTCCTCGTCTCGTCGGTCCCTCTCATCATTCCCTCTCACTTGCTCACCACACCATCACGCCCTCAATCCACACTGACCTCGGTGGTGCATGAAGCTTTTCTTTTCACTGCTCATATTTCTTCCTTGCCCCTCCTCCCCCCTACTCTTGCCCCATTTCCCCCCAAAACCTCCCCCTGCTGCTCCCTCTTTACCCCCCCCCTCCCCAGGTGACCAACATGCCAGAGGTGCACGTCTTCCCCTCCCCGCAGCACCCCAAGCAGATCCTCTGCATCCTCGGGAACCTCTCCACACCGCTGTGTTTCTCCGGGGGCGCGTGCAACAACTCGTTTGCCATCGCCACCTTCGACTCCATCCCGCCGTGCGCCCTGATGCTGCTCGGCACGTCCCTGCTGCTGCACTCGCGCTACGGCTTTGACGACCGCTTCCACACGCCCAACATCCTCGCCAACCTCTTCTACCCCTATCCCGACTACTCCTTCATGCGCCCCGCTCGCGCCTTCTTCTACCGCCGCGGCGGGCTCGACATGCGCCTGTCGCCGTGGTCGCGGCTGCTGTTCAAGGCCATTCTAGGCGCGCACATCGCGCCGTTCCGCGTGCGCAACGGCACGCGCCCCGTGTGCTTTGAGCGCGCCGTGATGACTCGGCGGTACCGGCCGGCAGCGCAGGAGAGGAGCATCGTGCTGCAGGACGTGCAGGAGCGCGCCTGGGCCTACTGCTCCCTTGCTGCCTCCTCCATCCCCCCCTCTTCTACCGACGCTGCTGCTGCTGCTGCCGCTGGGAACAGCACTGCAGGGGCAGGGGCGCCCCAGCAGCATCCGATGGCGGGGGTGCCGCCGGGGCTGCGGGGGTTTGTGAGCTCGGATGCTCACACGATCCGAGTGCTGGTGCTGTATGGCGATGCGGACAGTGGGGGGTACGGCATGATGGAGAACCTGCAGGCGGTGCTCAAGGGGCTCAGGGACCGCTGCCACAAGGCCACTGCTTGTGAGCTCGTGGCTGTCAGAGAGGCCAACTTCACCAACTTCTGTGCGCAGGTGAGACAAAGGAGTGGGCTGGGTGGGTTCAGGGGTTGCAGGAGGTAGGGGCTGAAGGCAGCTCAAGGGGCTGGAGGGGCTCAAGGGGCTCAGGGACCAGTGCCACAAGGCCACTGCGTGCGAACTGGTGGCTGTGTGGAAAGCGATTGCCACAACCTTCTGTGCAAAAGTGGGACAAGGAGGAGGGGTCGGGGGGGAGTGCAGGGGGTGGTGGGTAGGAGCTGAAGGGGCTGATTGGGATGAAGGGGTTCAAGGGGCTTAAGAAGGTGAAGGGGGTCAAAGGACTGAGGGACGGTCGTCACAGGGCCACTGCGTGCGAACTGGTGGGCGTCAGGGAAGCCAATTTTAATCACTTTTGTGCGCAGGTGAGGCAAGGAGGTGGGGTGGGTGGGGAGTGCAGGGAGTAAGGGTAGGGGCTGAAGGGGTTGACGGGGTTGAGGGAGCACTGCCACAAGGCCACTGCCACAAGGCCACTGCTTGTACCATGAACCAAATAATGCAGATGGGCTCGCACACTCAGTTCCCAACCGCCCCGCCTTGTCCCCTTTCCCACCCTGCCATTCCCGGCCTCACCCCCCCGTGGCTCCACACCCACCGCTGCCTGGCAGGTGCTGTTCATGGGAGCAGCGTCCAAGCTGGTGACAGTGAGTGGCGATGGCACCATGAACCATGTCATGTGGATGGGCCTTCACACTCAGTCCCCACCCCCTCCTCTCCCTCCCCTCTCCCATTGCTGTACCCGGCAGGTGCTATTCATGGGAGCAGCGTCCATGCTGGTGACAGTGAGTGGAGACGGCACCATGAACCATGTCATGTGGATGCGCCCCGGCAGTGCCGTGTTGGAGCTCGTGCCTTTCGGCATTCCTGAATACGACCCACGCGTGCTGCGTGTGTATGAAGAGGCTTCCAGGTGAGCATGCTTCCATGTGAGAGGCGTGTGCATGGGGGGGGGCATGCTTCCATGTGAGAGGCGTGTGCATGGGGGGGGGCATGCTTCCATGTGAGAGGCGTGTGCATGGGGGGGGGGCATGCTTCCATGTGAGAGGCGCGTGCATGGGGGGGGGCATGCTTCCATGTGAGAGGCGCGTGCATGGGGGGGGGGGCATGCTTCCATGTGAGAGGCGTGTGCATGGGGGGGGGCATGCTTCCATGTGAGAGGCGTGTGCATGGGGGGGGGCATGCTTCCATGTGAGAGGCGCGTGCATGGGGGGGGGCATGCTTTCGGGCAGTGCCATGTTGGAGCTCGTGCCAGTGTGACCCGGGCGTGCTCAGAGTCTACGAGGAGGCTTCCAGGTGAGAGATGCGTGCAAGGGTGGGGCTTTCTTGCTGTGCACTGTGTGCTGTGGGGCCTTGTCGCTGTGTTGCATCTGCTGTGTGCTGGGCTGCCTGCACTCGGGGCTGCCACTGCCACTGCTGCTGCCACTGCCACTGCCACCGCCGCTGCGACTGCCACTGCCGCTGCTGCTGCCCCTGCCGCTGCCGCTGCCGCTGCTGCTGCCGCTGCCACTGCCGCTGCTGCTGCCACTGCCACTGCCGCTGCCACTGCCCCTGCCGCTGCCACTGCCGCTGCTGCTGCCGCTGCCACTGCCACTGCTGCTGCCACTGCCACTGCCACTGCTGCTGCCACTGCCACTGCCACTGCTGCTGCCACTGCCACTGCCACTGCTGCTGCCACTGCCACTGCCACTGCTGCTGCCACTGCCACTGCCACTGCTGCTGCCACTGCCAGCACGCCATGACCTCGTTGGACCCAATCCACATGTGCCCTGCCCACCCCTTGCAAGCACGTTCCTCATCCCCGCTCCCTCCACGCCATGCCACCCTCAACCCTCCTTGCCACCCTCAACCCTCCTTGCCACCCTCAACCCTCCTTGCCACCCTCAACCCTCCTTGCCACTCTCAACCCTCCTTGCCACCCTCAACCCTCCTTGCCACCCTCAACCCTCCTTGCCACTCTCAACCCTCCTTGCCACCCTCAACCCTCATTGCCACCCTCAACCATACTTGCCACCCTCAACCCTACTTGCCACCCTCTGACCATGCAGGTGGGTGAGGGTGGAGCACGACAAGGTGTTTGAGCTCATGGGCCCCGAGTGTCCGCGCAAGAACGCCTCGTGCCGCTTCATGTACCGCCGCCGCGCGATCGTCGCCAACGTGACAGCTGTCATGGCGTGGTTCGACGCCACGTACTCGCGCATGCGCACCGAAGGGAAGGAGGGCACGCTGGGGGGCAGATATGGCGGACGGATTTGATGTGATTAAATGTTAGTTGTACACTTGTGGCAGTTGGGCATGCAGTTCCATTGCATCAGTGTGAAGCTATATGAGCTCCATACAATCTCAAGTTTTTGCAGATGTATGGTATATCCTCTCTAATGAGCTGATCTGCACGTAAGTTAGGCACTTAGCAATGGTACAAGTAGTCACAGCACTAGTGAACCCTAACTCTAATGCACTGTAGACTGCCACGGCCTCACCACGCCCAGCTCCTCCCACCTCACCGCGCTCGCGCCATGGCGTCATCCCCGAGGAGGGTTACATTGCGCTGACCCCGCCTCACTGCCGTCTATGCTCCGAGCGCATGCTTGGACGGGTCGTCAGTCGCCACATGCCATTCTCTCCCAAGTCCCATCGCCGTCACGTGGGCAGCTAGCCGTCTCGTCCGTCTGCTGCACACACGACACGTCGTCATGAGATCATGGACGGCCACGATCGGTCGCGTCGGCGTGTCGGTCGCTCTGTCCGCATGCTGCGCGCCAGCGAACGGCGTGACGACATCAGCAACGTGGCCCTGGCGCGCGCGGAGCATGCAGCGAAGCCTGTAAATTGGCGCGGAGCGAGCGCCGTCTCTGAACGACGCCTGACCTGCTGATCGATGCCTTTCTCCGTGTCGCAACTCTGTCCTGGGCTGCTCTTTCCAACCACCAGCCCTTGCTGCTCCTTTCGCGCACCCGTACCCCGTCCCTCCAGGTCTATCCTCTCCCCCAAACCCTGCCTCTGCTCCTGTGCTGTTGCATGGTGTAATACCCCGCGATTTCTTTCCATCCTTAACCCACCCGCCCCACTCGCTGCCTTCCCGCGCTTCCTCCTCCCCACTTGCACCTACCAGTAGTACCACCACTGCCGCTGCTGCTGCGGGTCCTCCCTGCTGCTCCCTGCACGACACGAGCTCCCTCACAGGCTCCCCTCCCCTCCCCGCAACTTACGGGCTCTTTGAACGCCTCCTCGCAACGCGATGGCGCGGATGGCTGTAGTGGTAACCGCACTGCTGCTGGCTGTTGCGGGCGCCCTTGCAATCGCGTCTCTGCTCTTGCGGCGCACACCCGTCGCATGGCACAGCAGTTGCAAGCACACGGGGCAGGTACGCACCTTTGGTGGTCAGTAGTCCTGCCGCCCGTATGATCGCTGCTGAGCTGATCACATGAGCCAGTTTGAGAACGCTCTTTTCTTGTCTACACATGTCGATCGTGTTTCTCAGCAAGCCTTAATCGCCCAGCAGTGCATCCCGTTGCGAAAATAGCCTATGTCTGTGACACGTGTCAGTGTATGATGTATGTGACACCCTGCATGCATGTATCCACGTGTGTGTTGTTTCCCAGCCCATTGCAGCTATAACGTGCCCTGATGCCATGAGTAATGATGCCACGTGTCATGATGCCACATGCCTTGCTCAGCTGAATGCTCAAGGGTTGCCCACTCATGCCATGCTTCCGGCCTCGCTTCCCCACGCCACTGCTCCTGAAACGCCTCGGCGTCTTCTGCCCCCTCTGGTGAGCCACTGGTAACAGGGCCCGCATTGCATTGATCTGCATCACCCCGCATTGCATCGCACTGAGCTGCAATGCGTGACAGGAAAAGGATTGCAATTAGGTTAGCGGTCTGCTTCTTGCAAGAGAGACGCCAGAGCGAGAAGGTGTGAGATGTTGTAGGCATCACTCCCACTCTTGCCTTGCCTGTGGGCGCCAGGCGGACAGCATGAGCATGTGTCATTGAGGTTGTCAACTTTCGTGCTCATGCCATGCCGTTCTCTCATGCCATTTCCTTCTCTCCTCCTACAGGTGGGCATCTTATACCTTGCAAGCTCAGCCCTCGTGTTTCTGCTGTGGTGGATGGGTGTATCACCAGCGCGATTTGGAAAGTGGTTGCAGCAGCAGGGCTTGGCGCTGATGGTGGAGATGGCAGAGCTGAGGAGGAGGAGTGCGGCCATGGCGTTCTTGGATTGCGGGGTACGCTAGTCACGGCATGTGAATGAATGCCTGTTTACGAGGATAAGGATACGAGGATGTCCTCTCATGCCATGATTCACCCACCATACCTTACACATCTACCTCTGTGCCAGCTGCTGCCGCGCCTGACCTCATCGTTCAGCCTCCAATTGACACACCCTTTTTCTCGCTTGCCCTCCTTTCTCCCATATCCCTCGCCCCCAGCCCTTCCCTTCATGCTGCTGCTATCTCCCTTCCATCCTCGCCCTCCCCCCTCCTAAACCTCCCTCGCCTCTCATCCCTCCTTCTCCTCTCCTCCCCTCGTGCCCATCCTCCCTGCCCCACCATATGCCAGTGTCGTGCAATCCTCCATCATCTCCTCTATGCTCATCGACACACATCCATGTGAGCACGCCCCACCTCACTGCCTCCTATCAACATTTCCCACGTTGTGCCACCAGCTGGTCCTTATTTTCTGCTGCGGGGATGTGAGAGATGCCTTGTGGCACTGCCTTGACTCACCTTTAGGTTTCGCCACTCACGTTGTTCCGCTGATCTTTGTGTTCGCTGTATCCTTGGATGTTGGTGTCGTATCTCGACACGTTCCCTATGTACTGCCGTGTTCTCTCATGTTCTCTTTTGTGCTGCCATGTGCTGCCATGTGCTGCCATGTGCTGCCATGTGCTGCCATGTGCTGCCATGTGCTGCCATGTGCTGCCATGTGCTGCCATCTGTTGCCATGTGCTGCCATGTGCTGCCATGTGCTGCCATGTGCTGCCATGTGCTGCCATGTGCTGCCATGTGCTGCCATGTGCTGCCATGTGCTGCCATGTGCTGCCATGTGCTGCCATCTGTTGCCATGTGCTGCCATGTGCTGCCATGTGCTGCCATCTGTTGCCATGTGCTGCCATGTGCTGCCATGTGCTGCCATGTGCTGCCATGTGCTGCCATGTGCTGCCATGTGCTGCCATGTGCTGCCATGTGCTGCCATGTGCTGCCATGTGCTGCCATGTGCTGCCATGTGCTGCCATGTGCTGCCATCTGTTGCCATGTGCTGCCATGTGCTGCCATGTGCTGCCATGTGCTGCCATGTGCTGCCATGTGCTGCCATGTGCTGCCATGTGCTGCCATGTGCTGCCATGTGCTGCCATGTGCTGCCATCTGTTGCCATGTGCTGCCATGTGCTGCCATGTGCTGCCATCTGTTGCCATGTGCTGCCATGTGCTGCCATGTGCTGCCATGTGCTGCCATGTGCTGCCATGTGCTGCCATGTGCTGCCATGTGCTGCCATGTGCTGCCATGTGCTGCCATGTGCTGCCATGTGCTGCCATGTGCTGCCATGTGCTGCCATGTGCTGCCATGTGCTGCCATGTGCTGCCATGTGCTGCCATGTGCTGCCATGTGCTGCCATGTGCTGCCATGTGCTGCCATGTGCTGCCATGTGCTGCCATGTGCTGCCATGTGCTGCCATGTGCTGCCATGTGCTGCCATGTGCTGCCATGTGCTGCCATGTGCTGCCATGTGCTGCCATGTGCTGCCATGTGCTGCCATGTGCTGCCATGTGCTGCCATGTGCTGCCATCTGTTGCCATGTGCTGCCATGTGCTGCCATGTGCTGCCATGTGCTGCCATGTGCTGCCATGTGCTGCCATCTGTTGCCATGTGCTGCCATGTGCTGCCATGTGCTGCCATGTGCTGCCATGTGCTGCCATGTGCTGCCATGTGCTGCCATGTGCTGCCATGTGCTGCCATGTGCTGCCATGTGCTGCCATCTGCTGCCATGTGTTGCCTTGTGCTGCCATGTGCTGCCATGTGCTGCCATGTGCCATGTACAGTGAGAGTGGCAGTTCAGGAGTGGGGATAGTGACTGAAGCTCCTGGGGTGCTAGTAGGGCAGGGAGCAGCAAGGCAGGGAATGGAAGGGTTGGTGAGGGTGCTAGCAGAGCAGGTGGAGGAGGCAAGGAGGGAGGTGGTGGCAGTGAGGGTGGAGTTGGCGGAGCACAAGGGCCGCCTGGCAGGGCTGCAAGAAGCTCTCACACACACGCACCTCGCCACCCAGCGGTCTTGGGAGGTTAGTGTGACTTTTTCCTGTAGTTTGTTTGAAACCAACACCCCATACTTCACTCTATATGATTTCTATAAGAAAAACATTACTCTACACGTGTGTGGGAGTCCTTTTTTACTGTTTTGCTGTATTTTTTGCATCACTCTTTTCATCAGGCACTTATGTCGGTGTGGTGTGGAGACGCATCAAAGAGCACCCATGTGGAGCTGCAGAACGTGCCTAGTCTCTCCACCACCGCGCTGCGCCTGCTCTCCACCATCTCTCACCTCCAACACGTTGACTTGGACGGGTCGGCAGGCTTCAGTGCAGAGGGCGTGCGTCTCCTCTACAAGCTGCCTCGCTTAGAGGACCTCAGCTTGCGAGACACGGCTGTTTCAGATGATGCTCTTTTCGGCATTGGGGAAGCGAAGAGCCTTGCACGCCTCTATTTGAGCCGCACCCAAGTGACCGATGCAGGGCTGCTGCACATCGCTGCTAGTTCCTCACTCAACACCCTGTCGCTGCTTGGGTGCCTGGGGGTGACAGGCATAGGTATGGTGCATGTGGGGCGGCTGGGCGGCCTGGAGTGGCTGTACCTGCAGGGCACGGGGGTGGACGATGCAGGGTTGCACAACCTGGCTTACCTTACCAAGCTGCTCGTGCTCTATCTGCCTGGTGGGGAGTGTGTTGATCACGAGAAGCTCTGCAGGCAGGTGGGCAGGTAGGTGGACGAAGGAGCATGGAGGGAGGGGATGTGGTGCAAGATTTCTTAGAAAATGTGGCATTGAAGTGTTGGGTTTTGCTTTGCCACTCTCAAAAACATATTGGCTCCATACCAGGCCTTTTTTTTTTTCCAAATATTACAAACCTGTTTAAGGGCTGGTTTTTTCAAAACTCTGAAAATCAGCGTGACCCACAGACGTCTCAGAAATAGGATGAAACGGATGTGTAACTAGGAAAGCAAGGCAGTACAAGTATGAAACCCTAACTGAGTTGTACTCACTAA